AAAAGAAATCATGAAATAAGGAATGACTTACCAGTGTACAAAAGTGGATTGTCTGATATCTGCTAGGAAAGAGGGATCTGTTGCCAGGGAAGACTGGGTCTTTTCATGGTCCTGGCACATCTGGCCCTGTGCTCCTCACGGAGTACCCTTCTCCCGGCCATGGGTGGCTTTCCTAATTGAGTGTCTCTCCCCTCCAGAATGGCTGCAGTCCGTCCAGGCCACCATGATCCTGTCCATTATCTTCAGTGTTCTATCCCTGTTCCTGTTCTTCTGCCAGCTCTTCACTCTCACCAAGGGGGGCCGATTTTACATCACTGGAATCTTCCAAATCCTTGCTGGTAAGTAGTGGGCAATAAAGTCCGTGTGGATACTGGACACATCTGAAGCTCTGGGCTGGTCAGTTACTGGAAGAATGTGGACCCAGAATGACTGATGGGGTGTGTGTGTGTGTGTGTGTGCATGCACATATAACTCAGAATATTGAGACTACTCTTTACTTCTTTGTGGAATGAAGTGCATGGGAAAGAAGGTGCAGGACACCTTTGGAAGGAACGTCGCCACACATGCCAGACCTATGTCTAAAAATGAAGGTATAATCTGGGCAAATTATCAGTAATTGCTGAGGCTATAAATAAACAAGGGAAGTCTTGATTGCAATGTGCCCCAAGGCAAGGATGTTTCAAGTATGTGCTTGCTACCTGTAAGCAATGCTGAAGACATACAGACAGATTCTTACCTTCCTATGCTCCAGTCTCTGAATCCACTGGGCTTTGACTTGATGTTGCCATCCTCTGATTCTTTATCTTGGCACCCATTTGGAACATGGCATCATTTCCAAAACATGGGACCATGACAACACATGAAGGTGAGAAGTCTCCTTCAGTTTTCTAAAATGTCTTCAAGTCCTGCTGTTGGGTAGATTTTGAAGGCAGCTATATAATCATATTCATAGTGTGAAGAGTCCTAGAAGCTTCTATTGAAACAAAGGGTGGCATCTTAAGATTTTTTTCTGAAGATTCTGGCCAGCATCTTGTTTAATTGGCTCTTACCCTTTTGACCATTGATTGCCAACTGACTTAGTCAACAGGGCATTGGAGAGAAGTAAGAGGCAGATATGGGGTGAATTCTATGGTCTAAGTTTATAAATCACAAACTCCATTTGTACCAGAGTACTTCTGGGTCTGGGAATCCTGGCAGTCGTAGTACTGGGATATTCCCAATTCTGGCTTTGAGTAAGCAAAGGACATAGCACCTCTAGTTTTAGTTGGTCTCTGAGTTTACATGGTGCTCTGTCACTACCTGGGAACGCTGGTGGAGTAGTGCCTAAGGCATTTGACTGCTAACCAGAAGGCTGGTGACTCAAACTCAGCAGCCATGCCTTGGAAGGAAGATTGGGCAATCTACTTCTGTAGTGATACCACCTTGGAAACCCAAGGAGGGGTCACTATGAGTTGGATCTGACTCTACGGTGCATGGGGTTGTGGATTGCTATCACTACCCTGAGAAAACAGCCCATACATCCTTGATAGATGAACGGACTTACATTGTGGCTTAGGGCTTTATGGGAAGAGGTTAAGTACTGATGACCTTTTCTACCAGCCAGAAAGTTACTCTTTCCCATAAAGTAGAGTAAACTGGAGAACTACTTCTCACTACTATATTACTTAAATACAACATTTAAGTGATCATGGTTGTGGGATTTCAAAACTAAACAGTGCTTTGCTACTTGCGCAGGTTTTATTATATTAAGCTAAGCTCCTGAGTGGTTGCCAAACTCAAAAGAAACTCACTGCCATAGAGTTGATTCAACTTATAGTGACCCCTCCTTGGGTTTCCAAGGTGGTGTCTCTATAGAAGTAGATTGCCCAATCTTCCTTCTGAGGAGTGGCTGGTGGGTTTGAACCACTAGCCTTCTGGTTAGCAGTCAAATGCCTTAGGCACTACACCACCAAAGCTTCCCTAAATTATGAATTATGCATTGAGATATCATTTCTGTGTACTTTAGAAGCAAAGGGTTATATGATTCACTGCATTTCCAGAGTTAATACAGAAAACTCATGTATTCTAGGGTTTCTTTTTTGGCTCACTATTTATTGCTTGATATCAAATCAAATGACAGTATCGATTGAAGTAGTGAGTATCTTAAGATATATCAATACAGATTTAGGAACAAGAAGTTTTGTAACTATATATATTTAATCTGTACAAGTTTATTATTTTACCAGTGAATAAACTGAAGCTGGGAGAGGGTAAATTAATACCCAAAGTCACCGGCTCATGGCAGGGACCACTAAGTGCTTATACATCTGTCCCCATACCATGCGGGTTTTGAATGGAGTGAGATACTTCCTTATATTTAGAGATGAAGATCCACAAATGTTTTTAAGGAATACAAAATTCAAGATAGAAACTCTGATTTCTATATAATCTTCAATTGAACTGATTTACAGTGAAAGGTAAATGTCAGTTTGTACAATTTACCATCTCTGAGGTTGTAAGTATTTGGAAGAGCCTGTACTGTCAGGACTAGTCAAACTAAAAATATTGGGCTAAGAAGACCTAAGAAGGCTTTTTCAGAGCAGGCAACAACTTTCTCTGTATTCTTCCCACTGAGATATTTCAGTTATAAATTCTTTAACAATGTCTTTTTAGCAATGCCATCTTAGGTCAGAATCCAAAGTCCAGAATTAAGAGCTATTGACACACATGTAACTGCACTGTCGCCACTGCTCTGTAGTGTTAAAGCTACAAAAACTTAGGTGTTGAGATTTTCTAATCTTCTGAAGTGTATTTATTAATCCATACTTGTTTCACTGCTTTGATTCTCATCAAATTCATTACAAGCATTTTCAAACTCTGATATAAGAAACTTCTGAATTTAAAAGCACATGATTTGCTTTTCTGTTATCCTCTTCATCTTTGTTGTTGTTGTTAGGTGTCATTGCACCATCTCTGATTCATAGTGACCTTATGTACAACAGAATGAAATCCTGCCCAGTCCTGCGCCAGCCTCACAATCCTTGCTATACCTGAGCCCATCATTGCAGCCATTGTGTCAATCCATCTTGTTGAGGGCCTTCCTCTTTTTCATTGACTGTCCACTTTACCAACCATGATATCCTTTTCCAGGGTATGGTTCCTTCTGACAACATGACCAAAGTAGGTGAGATGAAGTTTGGCCGTTCTCACTTCCAAGGAGCTTTCCAGCTGCACTTTTTTCGAGGATAGATTTGTTAATTCTAATAGCAGTCCATGGTACTCTCAGCATTCTTTTCAAACACAACTCAAAAGCATCAACTCTTCTTCGGTCTTCCTTATTCATTGTCTAGTTCTCACATGCATATGAGGCGATTGAAAATACTATGACTTGGGTTAGGTGCACCTTAATCTTCAAGGAGTCATCTTTGCTCTTCATCACTTGAAAGAGGTCTTTTGCAGCAGATTAGCCCAATGCAATACTTTGTCTGATGTTTTGACTGCTGTTTCCATTGGTGTTGATTATAGAACCAAGTAATACGAAGTCTTTGACAACTTCAGTCTTTTCTCTGTTTATTGTGATGCTGCTTATTGGTCCAGTTGTGAGGATTTTTGTTTTCTTTATATTGAGGTGTAATCCATACAGCATACTGTAGTCTTCAATCTTCATCAGTAAGTGCTTCAAGTCATCTTCACTTTCAGCAAGCAGAGTTGTGTCATCTGAGTATGACAGGTTGTTAATGATTCTTCCTCCCCTCCTGATGCCACATTCTTCATGTAATCTAGCTTCTTGAATTATTTGTTCAGCATACAGATTGAATAAATATGGTGAAAGGATACAACCCTGACACACTCCCTTCTTAATTTTAAACTATGCAGTGTCCACTTGTTCTGTTCAAATGATAGCCTCCTGGTCTATGTACAGGTTCCTCATGAGTACAACTAAGTGTTCTGTAATTCCCATTCTTCTCAATGTTATCCACAATTTGTTATGATCCACAAAATCAAATGCCTTTGCATAGTCAATAAAACACAAGTAAACATTTTCTGGCATTCTTTGCTTTCAGCCAAGATCCAACTGACATCAGCAGTGATATCGCTCAGTCCATGTCCTGTTCTGAATCCAGCTTGCATTTCTGGAAGTTCTCTGTCAATATACTGCTGCAGTCATTTTTTAATTATCTTCAGTAAGATTTTGCTTGCATGTGATATTAATGATATTGTTCGATAACTTCCACATTTGCAGGATCACCTTTCTTTGGAATGGGTACAGATATGGATCTCTTCCAGTCAGTTGGCCAGGTAGCTGGCTTTCAAATCTCTTGGAGTGAGTGCCTCCAGTGCAGCATCTGTTTGATGGAACATCTCAATGGGTATTCCATCAATTCCCGGAGCCTTGTTTTTTACCAGTTCCTTCACTGCAGCCTCAACTTCTTCCCTCAGTACCATTGGTTCTTGATCATGTGCCACCTCCTGAAATAGATGAACATTGACCATTTCCTTTTGGTACAGTGACTCTGTGTATTCCTTCCATCTTCTTTTGATGCTTCCCACATCATTCAGTATCTTGCCCATAGAATCATCCAATATTGCAACTTGAGGCTTAATTTTTTTCTTCAGTTCTTTCAGCTGAAGAAATGCTGAGTGTGTTCTTCCGTTTTGGTTTTCTAACTCCAGGTCTTTGCATATTTCTTTATAGTAATTGGCTTTGTCTTCTTGAGCTGCTCTTTGAAAATTTCTATTCAGCTCTTATCATTTTTTCCATAGCTACTCTCCATTCAAAGGCAAGTTTCAGAGTCTCTTCTGACATCCGTTTTAGTCTTTTTTTCTTTCCCTGTCTTTTTAATGGCCTCTTGCTTTCTTCGTTGATGATATTTTTGATATCATCCCACAATTCCCCTGGTTTTTTAGTCATTGGTGTTCAATGCATCAAATCTATTCTTTAGATGGTCTCTAAATTCAAGAGGTATATAATCTAAATCATCTTTTGGCTCTTGTAGACTTCTTTTAATTGTCTTCAACTTCAAGTTGAACTTGCATATGAGCAGTTGATGGTCTGTTCCACAATCAGCTCCTGAGCTTGTCTTGGCTGAAGATATTGAACTTCTCCCTCACCTCTTGCCACAGATGTAGTCATTCTGATTCCTGTGTACTCCATCTGGTGAAATCCACATGGATAGCTGCCATTTGTGTTGTTGAAAAAAGGTATTTGCAATGAAGAAGTCATTGGTCTTGCAAAATTCTCTCATGTGATCTCCAGCATTATTTCTATCACCAAGGCCATATTTTCCAACTACCAGTGATACATCTTTGTTTCCAACTTTTGCGTTCCAATCACCAGTTATAATCAACACATCTTGAT